TGATGTTACTGTAGTTCTAGACTAAATGTGAATGTGCATTAATTCATCCCACTCACAAAAAACAGATTTAGTATTCATCAAAATGAATTAAAACAGTGAAATACTCAGAATATGACGCAAACCTGCAATAATTAAATGTTAAACAACACAAATATCCTTTATGTATTTAATCCCATTCTATTAACCAATGTCTTTGCTTCTGCCCTTCGATGATCCAGTTCAACCGTACTAATAATCACAAATTCTTTTTTTATTGCTGAAGTGTGTTGAAATTTCTTCTTCTGCATTCTACTGTACGGACGTAAATTTACTTTCCCTTCAGCCTGAGGCTTATTCATTTCACTTTTGGTGTGAAAAGGCTTTTATATTTGCCAAAAATATAACTTTTTTATTTTAAAAACAAACAAGCAAGCCCTGTCCAGATTTAAAAAGTAACGCAAAAGTAACGTAACGCATTACTTTCCATAAAAAGTAACTAAGTAACGTAATTAGTTACTTTTTTATGGAGTAACGCAACATTGTAACGCATTACTTTTAAAAGTAACTTTCCCCAGCACTGTATACTAATATAAGTGTTGATGCAATAAAAACACGTTTTGCACCCAAATTACAATGTGCGTTATATCTTTAGCAAGCATTTAGCTAAACGTAACTAACCACCCTTTACACAAACTTTGTTACAGCAGCTAAAAGTTCAATGCTCATAAAGGTACTCAATGATCAGTAAACATTTATAAATATTTACAATTGATGAATAGTCTCAACTTTAGTTTGGGACTACTGCAGTATTTGTTAAGATGTGAAACTCGTAGAAGTCTATACAACAAACGAAGACCAAATATATGTGAGTTAATGGATATAATATGTTAACATGAATAGTTTGTGAAGTGCTTAAAATGACTAATTAAGCTATTTTTTCACAACATTTGTAAATGTAAAAAAGAGCATTAGGTAATTTTAATGACATTTGTTGGCATTCAAAAGTACATTAACAAATAAACTTTTTAAACAAAAAAAAGTATAAAACATTGTATAATTTCTGTTAAAATCATTTGTAGATTTGTAAAAAGTGTCAAAGACATTTGTAAGCAATTCAATTTACATTAAATAATGACCTGTTAATCATTAGGTAATGTTTAATAAGTACATTAATAAACATTAACATTAAGCTATGTGAATATATATTAACTAATGATCTGTGTTAATGATTTATTAATGAAAGTTATTATAAGTGTTACCGGTTCTGGAACAAAGTTATAAACAAATAAACATTAATAGAACATTCGTTCACTTATTATCAGATACTAATTATTAATAATGTTCACAAAACATTATCTATACTTCGTTCGTCTAACTTTTTTTTCAACGTTACTACTACGTTCAGAGAACATTCGAAAGTAACGTTCCCATAACGTCTGGAAATGATAAAATGGAATGTTCCTTTAACGTTCGCATAACCAAGAAGAACTTAAACTGGACATTTTGTTCGTTTAGAAAGCATTTAAAAATAAAGTTTTCATGAGGGAAGGTTAGCTAAACGTTCTTAGAACGTATTTTTGTTAAATCACAATAAATTAATACGCGATCTGCTTGAACAGCACAATCTTTCTGTCGTGTTGTTTTACTGTGAAAACAGTAAATATAGTACTTTACAAATAAATGAGTGAATATGTGGTACTGAATGATTTCCAGATACATAACACATGCTATTTAATTAGTACTAGAATATATTTCAGAGAATACCGTAAACGCGCAAAAAACTGTTTAGCGGGAAATTTTCTGTTAGCTGTACGTTACTTTGGCGGTTACGGTTACCATGGTAACGCTCATTTAAGCGATTCAAACCGCTGAATATGACAAAAGTACAAGCATTAAGCCAAAGTATATATAATTTATATGTAATATATGTCATTAAAACATTCGGTGACTTACCTCATCTATTTATTTTCCATAAAAAGACAAAAGATTTGTAATTTATGCGAAACTTGTAACGCGCTCATCCGTCCTGCGGAGGGAGCACGCCTCACTCACTCACACAAACACGCCGCTGTTTCCGGCGGAAGTGCCGCAGGCTGACAGTTAACTGTCGTTATTCGAGCACAACAGACGCGCTAAAGACAAACAACAGATCAAGCTCGTCCTGAGATCATCATGAGTGTGTTGAAAACATGGCTTCAAAACCAGAGCAGCTGCTGATTGTTGTTTCAGTTCTCGAAGGTAAGAGAGAGATTTGTTTGTGTGTGACTCCTGCAGTAAAATCAAAGCGAATGCAGTATTATACTGAGAATTAATGATTGTGATTTTGTCATAGTAGTCACCAGTTGTTTTCGAGGCTTGACACGCTTATTAATTATAGTTAAATATGTGTTTGTTGACAGATATGTCACTAGTAAGAGTTCCGAAAAGTAACGTTGCCATGGTAATATAATGTTTTCGGTGTAAGTAACGTTACCATGGTATTCTCTACAGTACTTAATTAGAGTATCACGTATATATCACAATATATGATTATGGTAATCGTTTTATTTTTCAGGATTCACAGATGAAGCATTTATTTGAAATAGAAATATTTTGCGACATTATAAATGTCTTTACTGTCACTTTTGATCAATTTAATGCGTCCTCGATGAATAAAAGTATTAATTTCTTTTTTTAATCGAACTTACTCCACACTTTTGAATGGAAATGTATGACAGTTTCCACAGAAATATTGTGCGGCACAACTGTTTTCAACATTGATAATAATCAGAAATGTTTCTCGAGCAGAATATTATACTGATTTCTGAAGATCATGTGACACTGAAGACTGGAGTAATGATGCTGAAAATACAGCTGCGCATCACAGAAATAAATTACAGTTTAACACATATTCACATAGAAAACAGCTGTTTGAAATTGTAATAATATTTCACAATTTTACTGTTTTTATTGTATTTTTGATCAAATAAATGCAGCCTTGATGAGCAGAAGAAACGTCTTTAAAAGACATGAGAAAACTTTTCACGGCTAGTGTATATTTTTTGTTATCTTGTATATTTTTCTCATTATAATCACTGCAGCTCAATGTTTATGGCTCTTTTACAGTATATACTGTTGTTCAAAAGTTTGGGGTCAGTAAGATTTGTAATGTGTTTTAAAGAAGTCTCTACTTTGCATTTATTTGACCAAAAATACAGAAAAAACTGTAAAATTGTGAAATATTATTCTAATGTAAAACAGCTGTTTTCTATGTGAATTTGTTAAAAAAATTTATATTTTGAATAAACGCTGTTCTTTTTACCTTTATTCATCAAATAATCCTGAAAAAGTATCACAGTTTCCAAAAAAAATATTAAGCAGCAAAAACTAACATTGATAATAACTGAGCATATTAGAATGATTTCTGAAGATCATGTGACACTGAAGCGCTTTGACGGAGAGACGTTGGCCACAGACCCCGTCGAACACAAAGAGCAGCCGCCGTTCTGCACTGAGCTGGCCTGGGAGCTCGACCGCAAGACGCTGCATCAGCACCGGTGAGTTCTGCTCGTCACATGATGCTCATCCGTCAGCGCCTCTCTCTCACTCAGCGTCGTCTGCTCCTCCCACAGACTCCAGAGGACACCCATCAAACTACAGTGTTACGCCGTCGACTCCGGCACGTCTGCGAGGGAGTGTGTGGGATACATCGTCCTCGATCTCAGATCACTGCAAGAGATCAAGCAGGTCAGATCGTCCGCTTGCTGCTTTTGAAGTCTCTTGTGCTCACCAAGGCTGCATTTATTTGATCATAAATACAGTAAAAATGTGAAATATTATTACAATTTAAAACAGCTGTTTTCTATGTATATTCACATAGAACACAGCTATTTTAAATAGTAAAACTATTTCACTATTTTTAGTGTATTTTTGATCAAATAAATGGTGAGCAGTAAAGACTTCTTTCAAAAACATTAAAAATCGTACTTATGTGCGTGTCACAGAAGGTTGAGTCTCATTAGCCGACTTGATTTTTTCGAAAGCTTTGGCTTTTCTGAAAGTCTTCTATGTGTTCTTCAGGCTCCTAAATGGCATCCTTTACTCAGTAGCAAGTACACGAAACTGAAACCTGCTCTTCTGATCAGCATGATCTTAGAGAACGACACCAAACCAACAGCTGAGCAGTTCAAGGCAAAGAAAGCTCCACCGAGGCCAGGTACCTGACGCTCTTTCTTACGCTGATGCACACCTCTGATCTCTTTGTGCCGTTGTTTTCCTCCCGTTCTCTGCTTCTGTTGATGCGCTTCAAAGCTTCTACATGCATGTTTGTGTCTCAGGTCAGTGCTGGTTCGGTTCTGTCAGGCGTCGTTATTAAAATCAACATGAAATCTAAAATGTACTTGATGCTGGTTATTAGTATCTTCCATTCAATTATTCCAGATAATAAAAAGTGTCTAAAATTATTGTTTTTGAAAAATTTCACCAAAATGTAATAACTTTCTCCACTAAAACAACTTAACTAAAATAATTAAAACATGTTTGTTAATTGAAATAGATATTAAATGAAAAAAAATAAGTTCCCTTTTTAAGTTGGAGCATTAAAATTACTAACTGGTTTGCATTATGTAATGGCAGGTGTATTTTGATGCTGAAATGGTATTTTGTCGTTTCTGAGGTTTTTGGTATTTATTAATTTATTATGATTTTTTAAATGTTTTTCTGAATTAATGTATTTTGATATGCTGAAATGGGATCTTGTATGTTCTGAGATGTTTTTAGTTATTTATTTTTCTCTCTCTCTCTTAAATAGTTTTTTTTATTGATGTGTAATTCATATTTTATGAAAAGTTGATAAATATATTGGCAAAAAAAAAGAAGCTAACTAGAAAACAAAAATGAATTTGAAATCAATTTAAATCTAAATAGTAATATAAAATAAATAAAAATGACAAAAATAATTACAAAAAATTAATCTAAATATTTATAATCGGTATAATAATTGTTAGTAATTGTATAATAAGATATTACAGTAAAACCTCATTCAAAAAATAAATAAACAATAAAACCATATATAAATGACACTAAAGCAACACGGATGAGCTATTGGTTATTGTTAATATTAACTAGTAGTCTTTGTTTTGGGCTGTGTTTTTAGGTGATGTCCGTGATGTGATGAACCCTAAACGAGTCGTGAGTGTGGTTCATGTTAACGCTAATGATTATTTTGTTAATGAAGTCACTGTGAACTCTAGGCTCTCCGGCGCTGGTTCCTCTGGACTCTGGTGAACTCAGGCCTATTTATTTTTCTCTCTCTCTTAAATAGTTTTTTTTTTTTATTGGTGTGTAATTCATATTTTGTGAAAAGTTGATAAATATAATGGTAAAAAAAAAAAGCTAACTGGAAATAAATAAAAACAAAAACTGAATTAGAAATAAATTTAAACCTAAATAGTCATATTAAATAAATAAAAATTACAAAAATAATTACTAAAAATTAATCTAAATATTTTCTTATTACAATAAAAGCTAATTCTAAAAATAAATAAACCTTTTCTGAAATTTTTTTTTTATTGGTGTGTAATTCATATTTTATGAAAAGTTGATAAATATATTGGCAAAAAAAAAAAAAAAGCTAACTAGAAAACAAAAATGAATTTGAAATCAATTTAAATCTAAATAGTAATATAAAATAAATAAAAATGACAAAAATAATTACAAAAAATTAATCTAAATATTTATAATCGGTATAATAATTGTTAGTAATTGTATAATAAGATATTACAGTAAAACCTCATTCAAAAAATAAATAAACAATAAAACCATATATAAATGACACTAAAGCAACACGGATGAGCTATTGGTTATTGTTAATATTAACTAGTAGTCTTTGTTTTGGGCTGTGTTTTTAGGTGATGTCCGTGATGTGATGAACCCTAAACGAGTCGTGAGTGTGGTTCATGTTAACTCTAATGATTATTTTGTTAATGAAGTCACTGTGAACTCTAGGCTCTCCGGCGCTGGTTCCTCTGGACTCTGGTGAACTCAGGCCGGTTCTGAACGAGGAAGAAGGCTTTCATCAGATCGGACCTGAAGATGTCTGCGCGTAGGTGATGTCCGTGATGTGATGAACCCTAAACGAGTCGTGAGTGTGGTTCATGTTAACGCTAATGATTATTTTGTTAATGAAGTCACTGTGAACTCTAGGCTCTCCGGCGCTGGTTCCTCTGGACTCTGGTGAACTCAGGCCGGTTCTGAACGAGGAAGAAGGCTTTCATCAGATCGGACCTGAAGATGTCTGCGCCGACATGTTTGTGCTGTCGGTAACGGTTGCGTTTGCTACTAAACTGGAGCAGGTGAACAGAGCTGCCGTCGTATGTCTGTGATGGGGCTGGACGATATGGCCAGAATATATATCACGATATATTTCTTCATTTCGGTCGATGCGATATAATTCCGATATCGATATGAACTCTATTGATCTGAAATAGAAATATTTTGCAACATTTATAAATGCCTTTATCATCAGTTTTAAGCATCCTTGCTAAATAAAAGTATTAATTTCTATAATTTCTTTCCCAAAAAAAAAAATGATAGTGTTGTTGCTGGAGACGGGCTTATTATTAAAAATGCAAACTGATTCTCTGCCAGCAGGAGGCGCTTTGAGAGTGATGGAACTAGCGGTTCGTATCACGATACATATTGATATTAGATTATTGTCCAGCCCGTACATATTCAGTGCGCGCAGTGACTAAACGACACATCTTCCTGCTCTTCAGTTGATCTCCAGCTCGACTAAGCTGTCCAGCGAGGGCGCAGAGTTCTTCTTCTATTACACTCTGTTGGGGAACGACGTCACCAGCGAACCTTTCCAGAACCTCCTCAGTCCGAACTTCGAGCCCGAGCGAGCGTCCGTCCGCATCCGCAGCAGTGAGCGAGTCCTGCGGCTCTTCCTCGCACAGCAGCCCTGTCTGCAGGTCAGCACGGATCTCTGATAGACCTCAACACATCTGCACAGATTTATCACACTGCTCGTTTTCTCTGTCTTTGGTAGGGCTGTGATTAAAAATTTTAATCTGATTAATTGCATGATGTGCTAGTTATAGATAGTTAATCTAGATAATCGCACATCAGTATTGGCTGAGAAATGTGGGTTATCTGTAGCAGCGAAGGATACACCTCATGCATCCTCCGAATTCCTGTGAAAGAAGGTCGCATTCGAAGGTCGCATTCCGAGTGTCCTACTTGCTTTTCTGAAATGAGACAGCCTCGATGACGTATGCAGCCTTCGAATGCGACCTCCGGAGGGCGCAGCCTTCTAAATGACTCGATTCATTCAAAAACACTGACTCGTTCAGTAACGAATCACTGCTGTGTGTTGATCAGAGATGCTCAACAGTTCTGCTGTGGGCTATTTTCATTTGTGAAACTGAGCAAAGCAGACAATATTATGTCTAAAATATAAATTTTTTGTATAAATCACTATCACATTTGCAGTGGTGCAGATATTGGGGAGAAGCAGCACTCTTGCTGGTGTGATATTGCTAAACTGTATCATATGTGACCCTGGAGCACAAAACCAGTCATAAGGGTCAATTTTGTGAAATTGAGATTTAAGCATCATCCGAAAGCTGAATAAATAATATTTCCATTGATGTATGGTTTGTTAGGATATCAAACATTAAGTTTTGATATATTTACGGTAGGAAGTTTATTAAATATATTCATGGAACATGATCTTAATATCCTAATGATTTTTGGCATAAAAGAAAAATGTATAATTTTGACCCATACAATGTATTGTTGGCTATTGCTACAAATATACCCCAGCGACTTAACACTGCTTTTGTGCTGCAGGGACACATATGATATAAACATAAGAGGCTGATTTATTTTGTGCACTCATATCTTGAATTTTAGGCTCATATCACTGCATTCTGGACGGGGCGCCACATTAAATGCATTAATCATTTTAACATGTTAGTTTTTCCATAATTAATCGCACCAAATGAACATGCCCTAGTCTTTAGTAACAGTGATGCATGTTCAGTATGTGTTTTGCACACAGATCCATCTCTGCTGTGGAAAGCAGTCTCTCGGCAGCACTGACGTCAGTCTAGCCGGGTTAATGACGAGCAGCGCTGATCTGACTAAACGTCCCGCTATTATAGAGGGCGCTTTCATCCTGCAGCCCCTGAACCGAGTGAAGCCCAGCCTGCGGTGTGTCCCGCCGGACCTGCAGCCGACTGTGAGCGTGTCTGTGACACTGAGAGCCGAAGATATCAACAATCAGGTCTGATCACATGCAGAGTTAAACAACTGTTACTGGAAATAAAATCAACTTTCACTGAAGTTAAAATACAAGTCTCAAACTTTAGTTGCCAAGGCAACATTTCTTATTTTCATTTAGTTTAACTTGGCGTACTAAAATAACTAAAACAAAAAAACTATATAGACATATAAAAACAACTAATAAAGATCTTGTAGTTTCTGAGGTGTTTGGTATTTATTAATTTTTTTTGTCTGTTTTGAAATGTTTTTCTGAATTAATGTGTTTTGATATGCTGAAATGGGATCTTGTATTTTCTGAGATAATTTATTATTACTAATTTATTTATTTTTCTCTCTCTCTTAAATTGTTTTTCTGAATTAATGTTTTTTATTGGTGTGTAATTCATATTTTGTGAAAAGTAGATAAATATATTGGTAAAAAAAAATGCTAACTGGAAATAAATAAAAACAAAAACTGAATTAGAAATAAATTTAAACCTAAATAGTAATATAAAATAAATAAAAATGACAAAAATAATTATTAAAAATTTATCAAAATATTTTCTTATTACAATAAAAGCTAATTCAAAAAATAAAATTAGAATACAAATTTTAACTAGAAATAAAATTACAACCGTATAAAAATTAATTCAAAATATTTATGAAAACTATAATAGTATCTCAATGATCCTAAAATAGCATTGATCATATTCATATGTGATATTTGAGGCTTTTTGCTTTTTGACATTTTCTTGCACTTTTAAAACAAATGTTCATGAAGCAGGATTTTTCTTAATCTTATAAGAGTTTGATTTATTATGAGCAGTGTTATTAATTAGGTTTTATTTTTATATTTTCTGTTTTCATTTTAATTTTAGTTACAGATTTAGTCATTTTATTGTGTGTTTTTGTTATTTTAATAATTTTTTACATATGTCTATATAGTTTTTATACATTTTTCTTTCAGTAAACTTAGTTAAACTTAACGAAAATGAGAAATGTTCCCTTGGGAACTAGCTGAAAGTTTTTTTTTATTTTTTTTAATATATTTTATTTCAGTTAAAGTTTATAATAATTTTTTCAATTAATGAAAATGTTTTTATGGTTTTATTTAATGCCTCTACTTTAAACAAAAAATTCCGTTTTATTCTAGCTTAAAGCATTCTTTTTTTTTTTATCAACACTTGAATATAGGTATGTTTCATAAAAATGCATAATTTTGAGTAAAAAGGTGAGAAAATCACATTTTGATCAAAAACTACATCTGGGTAATATTCAGTACGATTATCAAAGCATAAATCCAGTAAATCGCTTCCATCAACACCTCCAAAGCTTGCACAGACATATACCACTTCCCGGATCAACATTTTACTCTGTAACATTATGCAGTTTTCATTTATATGCTGTCTATTGCTGATGATCACATTATTTTTCATATGCATCTGTTTACATAAGAGATCGCTCGTTTCTCCGTCCTGTTCACAATTGTTTTTGTTCGGGAGGTTTTGTACTCATTCAGATGTGTAATAGCACCCCCGAGTGTATAACAGTGAAAACACGGAAAGCTGTAAAAACTCGTCTTTGGCGGGGAAGCGTTTTCTTGTAAAATACGAGATAACTCGTCAATGGCGGAGAAAGAGTTAAATAACTCTGACTGTGAAATCAAAACTTCCTCCCCAGACCAAAAATAGCATTTATGACCTCCAAAAAAAACTTAATCTTATTAAGGTCACAACTCTAATCTCGCTAACCTATGATAGTCAGTGATAGTCAGTTTTCAGCAGCTTGGCAGGGAGGTTTTTTTGTCATTTCGCATGTGTTTATGTAGTGTGTAACCAATCATTTATTTTTTGGTGCAAGAAAGCTTTGCTAACACCGAAGGTTGATTTGTAATGGTACAAATGTTTAGATATGGTGCATTTAATAACTATTGTCCTTTATTATTTTATTTTTTCGAAATTACTCGTCATCCAGTTTTTTATATCGACTATGCATTCCGTTAGTTTTTCAAATTGATCATATCGATCACAAGTGCAGTATGGAGTACCTCAAGGCTCAGTACTAGGGCCGTTACTTTTCACGCTTTACATGTTACCCTTGAGAGATATCATCAGGAAACACGGTGTTAGCTTTCACTGTTATGCTGATGATACTTAGCTCTATATTTCTTCGCGGCCTGGCGAAACATACCAATTTATTGCTTTATCTTTTTTCTTAAACGCTGTTCTGTTGAGTTCTAGACTCAGGATGGTGTTGTCTGTATAGTTTGTTACTGGTTACGGCCTTTCAGTGTTTTTAACAGGCATATTTTTGTAAACAGCTGGAAGTACCCATTGAGAATGGACCTAAAACTCCAGTGAAGAAAGGCCCCGTTCCAGCCGCCCGTCGTGAACGTCCCTCAGAGGAGCCCAGAGCCCTTAGGACCCCATCACCGGACCGGCCTCTCCGGTCTCCAGACGCTTCTCCTGAGCACCAGCACTCTGAGAGCGAGGCCGAGAGTCTGTGCAGTGATATCAGACAGGCCCCGCCCACAGCGCATGACAGGCAGGCCCCGCCCACAGTGCACAACAGACAGGCTCCGCCCACAGCGCATGACAGACAGGCCCCGCCCACAGCGCACGGCAAGTGTTCAAGCACATGTAAAATATATCGATATTGAGCCCCTCTCCGATACTTGTATATTCCTAGTGTATTGTGCACAATTCAACGACATTAAAGTTATTAAAATTAATCCAATGTATACAGAACTAGGGCTGCACGATAAATCGCATGTGATTATCATGCGCATCTTGTCAGTAAAGCCGGTTCTGTGATTAGTAGTAAATCATCATCATGTGCTTTCAGATGGAGCGGCATTTACTACACAGAGCCATAGTTCACTGACAAGCTACGCAATATCGCGCTCATAATCACATGCGATTTATCTTGCAGCCCTATACAGAACTGTGCAGAGAATAAAAGTAATGTGTGTGTGTGTGTGTGTGTACATATATAATAGTGGTTCTCAGTTCCAGTCCTGGTGTATCACTGTCATAAACTTCATTTCACCCATATTTTGACATTTTATTTCAAAAAAGTTATTTGAAACATTTAAGTAGACACTTATTTTTTATTATGCTTTGTGTATATAAAATCACTTTTGTAAATTTTAATGCGGTCACCAGACTGGGATGTCTATGGAAGCCCGTTTGTGACTTTTTATCTCACAATTCTGACTTTTTTCTCAGAATTGAGTTTAAATCTTGAAAATGTGACTTTTCAGAATTGTGAGATATAAACTCACAATTCTGAGAACATGTCAGTCTTTTTCCCCCCTCAAAATTGGACTTTATATCTCACAGTTCTGAGAAAAAAGTCTCATTCAGTTCAGACTGGAAACTCATAGCTCCTTAGTAATCATTAAAATGCGATTTGTGTCCCTGCAGCACAAAAGCAGTGTTAAGTCGCTGGGGTATATTTGTAGCAATAGCCAACAATACATTGTATGGGTCAAAATTATACATTTTTCTTTTATGCCAAAAATCATTAGGATATTAAGATCATGTTCCATGAAGATATTTAGTAAATTTCCTACTGTAAATATATCAAAACTAAATTTTTGATTAGTAATATGCATTGCTAAGAACTTCATTTGGACAACTTTAAAGATGATTTTCTCAATATTTAGATTTTTTTTGCACTCTCAGATTCCAGATTTTCAAATAGTTGTATCTCAGCCAAATATTGTCCTATACTAACAAACCATACATCAATGGAAAGCTTATTTATTCAGCTGATGCATATGATTAAAAAAAATTGACCTTTATGACTGGTTTTGTGCTCCAGGGTCACATATTTCTTATGCTATAGCGCTGTGAATGCAGTAGCAGCGGATGTGTGACTGTTGAAGCATGTTCTTTCAGATGCACCTGTTGTCCCAGATGTGACTGAAGCTGATGCTGCAGACTCGTCCGTCTCTGTTTCTGCACCGAAGATCTCCATCCCTGCGTCTGCACATCACTACTGCTTCTCCCTGGACCTGCGCAGCATCCGAGACCTCAGGACCAGCTTCCCCATCAACTGCGTCCTCCGGTGACTCACGCTCGCAGCCTGAGCTTCGACACGCAGCTTTAGCATGTTCCTGCTCGTGTCCTAACGTGTATCTTTCCCCAGATACGCTTACCAGTTCTTCGGCAGCGCGGCTCCCATCATGACGAGTCCAGCGGTGGAGGTGAAGAAGAACACGGAGGTGTTTCTGCCGCAGTCGTACTGCGCCTTTGATTTCGCCGCTTTACCCAATCAGCTTCAGGACACTTTCCTCAGGTGAGATCAGACCTTTAACCCTATTAAACAGAGATTAAACTACGGATTTCCATCAGTTCATAAAGACAGTCACTTGGTTCATTCCTGAATGATTCAGCCGTTCGAACGAATCAATTGAATGAATGATTCAGTGATAAAATCAGTGACTTGTCGCCACCTGCTGGCGGAGTTAGTTTCATTTTTAGCCTATAATTTCAGTCAGGAGCGCTTGTCCTCCTAATTAAAAAATTTAGGAGCACCTTCTGATCAATAATCAAAAATTCTGATAAAAAAATTAGCCTTCCTTATTATACGAGGTGACATTTGACTCCTTAAAGTGACTTACAGGAGTATTTTCTTTTTTCCTTTATAATGGCATCATTTTCATCTGTCAAATTCAAAGATTTATGTTTACAATCTTTTTTAAATTTCTATTTAAAACAATATAATAATAAGTAGAATAAGACAACCAAGTTACCAATCATATGAAAGTAGTATTAATAAATTAATTTGTACTACAGAGGTGGCACAGAAGAACACAAAAGTGGCTTGTAGGTACATTTCCAGACGTTTAATGAGGCTCAGAGGTGGCATGAGTGCAATTAAATTCATACATTCATGTGGAGATTAATGTTTTAAATATAAAATTAAATGATTTAAATAACTGAAATTATAGGCTAAAAATAAAACTATATCCGCCAGCAGCTGGCAACAAGTCACTGATTTTATCACTGAATCATTAATTCAATTGATTCGTTCGAACGGCTGAATCATTCAGGAATGAATCAAGTGACTCTCTTTATGAACTGACGGAACACTTTAATCCCTGTATTAAAGCTACTGGATCATATTTGATATGTGAAAGTCTCTAAATGATGTCGCACACAATCTAATGCATGTCTTCTGTCTCTGATTGATAATTTAGACTCTTTTAGTGTAACTGTACAAACGTCCAGTTTCTGCTCGAGCTTCTCGTGTCAAATCTTGACTGATTTTTATCAACTGTAGTAATATTTCCAGATGAACACTTACTGGACTGAAGCAGCTCAGCTTTACTTGATTCTCCATCAATCATGTTTTAGAGTCTCAAATCTGATCCTCAGGATCTTTTGAGGAGCGTTTGTTTCCAGAAGCTTTACTTTCACTGTTCCTCAGCGGAGGAATGATCTTCACAAGCCTCCAGAACATCTCACATCTTCTGAGGAGCCTTTATTTATTCAGCTCTCAATCACTGCATTATATATTTGGAGCATTTACATCTCATCTTACTGAGACAGATTACTGGAGATATAGAGCGACGACTGATATTTATATCATGTCAGTATCTGCTGTACTGTTATAAACATCTCATTGATTTACAGCACAAGCATCAGAATTATCAACATCTGCACCAAATACATAGTTTTGCTCAGTTTGAGTCGTTTTTCCTCCATATTCTCACTGTATCAAGCCATAAAATCTAGGGCTGGGTTTTGACACAAATTTCACGATTCGATTCTCATTCACAAGCTTGCGATTTGATTACCGATTCGATTCAATATCGATTATTTTGGGGATATATATCGGGTACAGTACATGCCAAATTTTCTCAAGGAAAAAAAAAATCCCTCAACTAATGCTGTAAAATATACATGAGAGTCAGCTGGTACTACATTACTATAATATTGAAGGTTAAAATTAATGTAAAGTTTTTACAATAATAAAGTTACAGTTACGTAATAATATTGCTACTTCAATTCGTTTTTTTGA